GACACAAAATTCGCTGAATAGACTTTGCAGAAATTTTCGCAGTCAGTTATGCCATCACATGGAAGTAAGATATGCAAAATAAACTTTCAAAATGACGAAGAGTTATAGCATCAACCGTAATCATAGTTCTGAACTAATATTAATTGTCTATGCACATATCTGAATACCATGAATAAATATGTTCATAAAAGTATGTATGATATTCAGATAAGTACAAATCCAATCTTAAATGACCAGGAAGTAAAATTTGGTCAAAATCTGAAATTTTCAACTCATAATTTTTTGTCCTATTATCAGTGCATTATTATCAGTAATTTTTATAGCCATCAGGTCAGTAACGTCTACTGCTTTCCATCTCTCCATTGTCATATTCATACACATTGGAATAAAATTTGTGTGAAATGAAAATTTTTGAAAATTTCAATAAAAGTATGCATCAGCAATAATTGGGAGATATACAGAAGCGAAATGCGAATGATGAATTAAAAGTTATAATAATATAAAATCTGTGGTGGGTTATCATCATAGGTGACCTGAAAACAAAATATGTACATTACTTGAGAAATTATGTTTAGTTGATCAAAGGGATATTACTAAAACAAAACTAAACTATTACTAAAACTACAATGGGAAATCAGATGAGAATATAGACATAAAGGTAATGGTAATGGGAATGAAGGATTTTATTGGTCTTTAGTAGGGGCAGCGAAGCGCTACGGTTCCAGCTACAAATGCAAGGATGAAAATCAGAAGATATTCGCAATAGTTTTGATCCTAAGATCCATTCCCTAGATCATTTTTTCTTAAAATATGAATAGTAATAGTTCCATGAGGAGACGTTGTTCTTTAAAGTACTTAAAATGTTGCTAGGCACGGGAAATATCAAATCAGGTGGTACCATTATATGGTGGTTATATGCCTAATCGTTGGTCAATGCCTTTGAACTCATAAACACAACACCTCGCATATATCCGATACCACAAATGTGTATCACAGATAAAACTAATATACGATGCCATTTTCTGTGAAAAATTCATTAAGTATATATCAAAAAACAAGTTATGTTTTTTTCGTATTGAGCCTGTGACTATAAAATTGCAAATACCTTAATATATCAAATAAACTTAAACTTAAATCTAACTTTGCATATCTTCTAATATGTAGATTCCTTAAATCGGTCGGGACATTTATATGGGAACAATGTTACAACACTATGTGACAGTAGGTTGCCCATGCTCTTTAAAAATAATGTACAGACACTCAGGTTGGAAAAAGGGTTAAGAACTTCAAATATGTATGGCGCCTTTTTAATACTTTAGACCAACTCTATGAGAAATTTTGACCAAATAAAACATTACTACCACTTTGGTTGACACACTGGAACCAACTCCTATGAGGGATATTTGGAAGCTTGGGCGAATAAAAAATTTCAGCCAAATACTAATTATTAAGGGATATATATGGGAGCTATCCGAATACTTGGGTCAATATTGATATTATTAATGTAATGTTAAATTTTCAATATCAACTATCATATAAGTAGAACGCCGAAAATTATACATCAACAATATTGCTAGGCAAGACAACGTTTGCCGGGCCCGCTAGTTGTATATACATATGTATGTAGATAGTTTTTTTGAAGCCAATGACAATCCAATTAAATGTAGAAAATTAAAATATTTTGATAATTTTCCATAATTGACAATTTCTTAAAGATATACACTGCCCATTTTCGCCCCAAATATGTCCAAAAAGAACTACGAAGAGGTGAAACCATAAAGGTTCGATATAAAATGTGTGGAAAGGTTAATATCGTTCAAAATACATTTTGCAACGTTTTCGCGGATTTTTCTTAAAATGTTCTTTCATTAAAACCTTTCCACTTCAATTACAGAATACTAACAGAAACTTTAAGTCAAATCGGTCCAACCGTTTCTTTAAAATTATTTTTGCAAGATTTCCGCGGATTTTTCTCAAAATTTTCTTATATAAAAACCTTCCCACTGTAATTACCGACAACTCAAAGAAATTTTGAGTGAAATCGGTCCAGCCGTTCTCAATTGATGCGTTAGTATACATTTTTCTTGCTCCATTTTTATATATATAGATAATCATGAGAAAATCCTTGAACTAGTCTACGTAAATCATACACCATATTTTGAATTAGTTAGGATACCTCCTATTTGTATTCCTGAAGATAATTATCACCCAACTTTATGTATATCCATGATACATGATTATTTAATTTCAGACAATTCGTTAAACTCATTAAAAACTACCTTTAACTATAAAAAACGAACTTTTACAAACTCAACTCACTTATCTCATCTGGTTCCCTTCGCTGAAGAAAATATACCGCTTGTTTTGGGTGTTTCAGCTTGCCAATTACCACCAAGCATACAACAAAAATCTGGGTTTGATAATAGTCAACGCAATCATCAGATATTTACCCTATTGATAAATATTTGGAGTACATAGATAGCAACATCAGAGTTTCGAAAACAAACAATTATAACCTCTTCCCAAAGGATCAGGAGGCAAGGAATAGTATTCCCAAGGATCAAATTGAGCATTTTATTGATTCAATGCCTCGCAGGTGCGCTGCCGTAATTAAAAATAATGGTTATGCTGTCAAAGCAAAATAGCAAAATTTGCTTATTTATAAGAAAAAAGTCAACTGTGTCACTTTTCGCATCCGAGACTCGAGACGTCAAGGCGTATACCCTCCGAAAATCCTTAGGGTGGTTTTCGAAAATTTCCATATTTTCTCCTCACACTATACCTACATAAAACAGAATGTGAACTTTAGGAACAAACATCTATGCTGGCGCCTCGTTGGGTACCAATGTTTCCCATAAAAGATGGACTTGACGTTCTATCTTTAATTATGCAGGCCTTGTCTAGACTTGTCTCCTTAGTGACAACCAATGGAGATTCTTGTAATTATCATCAATATGCGGTCTCTGATGCCATGAATGGCTACAGATGCAACAGATTCTACTCCAACATCCCCGGCAATTTAGGACTGTAAGAGGTTTCTCCCTAGGCAAACCCGTTCGATTCTGCTACAATTAAGATCCGGTTATAGCAATCTTCTTAATTCGCATTGTCCCCAGGATTATAAATAAGTGTCCCTACTGCCTTACAAGCCCATAAGGCACACACCAACCATTCAATTGCCCATCCGAGCCAAAAAGTCTACTGTCCATTGACTTATGGCTAAAGCCAATTGAGATGGCACAATTTCTCCGGTCATCCTCTTCAAATTCTAATTGCGTTAACATATTTTCCATTCATCTGTTTTTCTATCAATAATTTAAGAAAGAACTTTTATCTACAGCCAATCTGTTAAAAAAAAAAAAAAAAAAAAAACAAAACAGAAGTGCCTAAACCAAGCAAGTTTTGGACAAGAAAACCTAAGGCCGCAAATTCCGAGGAGAGTTCATAACGAATAAAAAAAAAACATCACAAACTAGTAAGGAAAGTTCAAAAGTCGGACGGGGCTGACTATATGATACCCTTCACCACTATGGGTACATACAAGAGGTGCTAATATATACAGTATTCTGTAGATAGAATCGACATATCATCTTTAGATTTTTCCAAAACTTGACACACAGCAAATTTCGTTCAAATCGAAAGATATATAGGGACTTTGGTGCACCATTTACATTAAATCGGACGAAAATATATATAAGAGCTATATCAGCGCTTTCCCAAATTTCGTGCAAATCTAAATCTGAACCGATTTCCCCCAGTTTCAATAGCTGTACCAAATTTCATCAAAGTCGGATTATAAATGCGACCTGTATTTTGTTTACAATTTAACATGGACAGACAGACGGACGGACATGCATAAATCGACATGGAAAGTAATTCTATGCATATTCTCAAAAGGAAGCATGGGTCTATCTCGTTTCCTTTTGCCTGTTACAAAACATATGCACAAAGACATAATACCCTGTACCACAGTGTTGTGAAGGGTATAAAAATAAAATACTCAGAAGAGGTCTTTCATAGACCTACCGATGTGGTGTTGGAATGGATTGAAGACAGTTGGGTTTAAGATATCTGTACTATATAACTTTCTTTAATACGAAGAAAAAAAGTACAATATTAATTCAAGGATATATTTAGACACAGATAAGGAACAATGAACATCTATGAAGGTTAATAAAATATGTGATATGATTTTGAAGCAATTGTGATAACTTTTGCCTCAAACTCTCTAAAAATAAGTTTATGTTTTTATTAGTAATAATCGACTCAGAAAGTGATTCTATGCATATTCTCAAAAGGAAGCACGGGTCTATCTCGTTTCCTTTTGCCTGTTACAAAACATATGCACAAAGACATAATACCCTGTACCACAGTGTTGTGAAGGGTATAAAAATAAAATACTCAGAAGATAGACCTACCGATGTGGTGTTGGAATGGATTGAAGACAGTTGGGTTTAAGATATCTGTACTATATAACTTTCTTTAATACGAAGAAAAAAAGTACAATATTAATTCAAGGATATATTTAGACACAGATAAGGAACAATGAACATCTATGAAGGTTAATAAAATATGCGATATGATTTTGAAGCAATTGTGATAACTTTTGCCTCAAACTCTCTAAAAATAAGTTTATGTTTTTATTAGTAATAATGAGGGTTAATTTGAAAATTGCAAAACAAAACGCATTTCATACAAAATTAATAAAAAACACACAAATTTTTTAGAAAAGAAATTATCTCGCTTAAAGATTACGAAAAAAAACAACAATCACACTTGCAGTTAAAAAAGAGAGAAAAACAAATAACGGAATGCAAAAGCAGCTGGGTTATATTTGAAAATCAAATTAGTAATCAATCTGCCAAAAAATTGTATTAATAGAGACGCCAATAGAAAAAGAAACAGAATAACAACAACAAGAATATCTGGTATGAAGATTTTTTTTGGAATTAAAACAAAACGAACGAAACGAACAACAAACACAAGAGTACTAATTTTACCGTTTCTTCACTGGGTTGAGACAATTTCAATAATTTATTATGTTTGCGCTGGAAAGAATGGTATTTTGAAAAAAATGTTTTGGTAAAAAATATAAAAAAAAAGAAACGAAATTAAGAACAGCAAGAACACAAGAATTTCTAAATGTTTATAACAGGTAAGAAGCAGGTAATTTTTTTGTAACATTTTGAATTTAAAAATCCTGGAAACTGCAACAATATACAGACTGGGGGAAAAAGAAATGGCAAAGCAGCAATATTTGTGATGCTGAACTTACCTTTCGGGGTGGCGCAATAGGTCCCTCATCTATGGAACTAATACTTTCATTTGATTGGCCATTGGAAATTTCACGTTCTGAAAGAAAAGTTCAGCAGTAAATTATACAAATACATTTCCAAATAAAAGTTAATATGTGTCTACCTGCTGGTGGTCCTGGCGGTGGTATTTTTGGTCTTGACAATGCAGACTTATCGACATGCTTCAATGTGGGCATTTCCCCTGCAGGTGGCAGTACTAACTTGGCACCAGCCAAATGTAAATTACGATTTAACGATTCGCCACTGGGTGAACGTTTGTGACCGAATGTTGTCATTGCCGGCATTATATGGTGGCCCACTGTGCTCGGGCCACCATTGGGATCCTGTGAGACAACCAGCTTATCTATACGCTCATAAAAGCTACCACCATGTGATGCTGAACTATTGTGACCACCACCGCCGCCCATAATGCGAGGACTACTATCTACGGAACGCAACAGCGGCAGGGTACCATATGAAGCCGGATCCATTGATTGATTTTTATGATTGTGCGTTCGTATATCGTTTGTATCGAAATTCTGTGAATGCCTAGGCGGATGCGGTAGGGTACCATAGAAATTTGATGTTGTCGTTCCCGGGGGTGGTGCAGGTGCGGTACGTTTCTTTAATGAATTCATGTTGGCTGAAAAGAGGGAGAGAACAAGAAGAAACAGGAAAATTAATAATGGAAGGCATGCGTAATAATAATATTGACTCTAAATGGGTAAAAGGACTATTCCAAACAATGGGCCCTATATGTCTTCTAAAAATATAAGACTCTAGAGATCTTCAATAGGCAGATCTGTAATTGATATAAACAGGAGACCTAGTTCTTCTATTGGCCGAAGTTTTTAGATATCTTCTATACATGTACGACCCTAGAGGTCCTCTGGGTAGAAGAACTTATAGGTCAGCAAATAACAGGGCAAAGATGTCTTCTACAGAAGAAAGACATCTATGATGTTCTATAGACAGATGAGTCTTGATGACGTTTACTGATGTATATAACCCCAAAGTTCAGCTATAGACCTAAAGACTTCGAGGTTCCATTAAATCGGACGAAAATATATATGGGAGTTATATCTAAATCTGAATCGATTTTCACGAAACTTAACACACATCATTCTAAAATCAATTCAGTACACTATGCCAAATTTCGTGGAAATCATAAGATATATAGGGTCTTTGGTATACCATTTACATTAAATCGGACAAAAATATATATGGTAGCTATATCTAAATCTGAACCGATTTATTTCCAATTTTAATAGGGTTCGTCCTTGGGCCAATTTAACATGGACAGACAGACGGATTGACGGACATGCATAAATCGACTCAGAAAGTGATTCAATGAATATTCTCAAAAGAAACCACGTGTCTTTCTCGTTTCCTTATACACAAAGACATAACACCCTGCACCACAGTGTGGTGAAGGGTATAAAACAAATAGGCATTCTATTAATAAAGGCCACCTACTTCCTTGAAGTCTTCTATTGACAGATTTGCACGGATGTCCTCCGTAGACAGGAAAACTTACAGGTATGATTTAGACAGACAAATGACACAGAAACAGACATTTTCTATGATAGCAGAAGAGTACAGAGAACCTGCTTGCTTCAGACTGATATCAGACCCTATAGGTCTATAATAGTTAAAATACTTTTATAAATGACCTGTAGGCTATTGTAACGTATAATGCCTATAGGACACCATTAGTATGTCTTCAGCCTATGGAATACCTATAGAAGTTCTATTTTCTACAGAAGATATTGTATTCAAACTTTCGAATTAGTAATCTTCTGTTAGTATTCTAATCCAGAATTTTGATTAATATCTTACCTGTTGATGTTGACTTCCTGGCGCCACCACCAAATTCATTATTACTTCTTGCCAGGCGGCCACTTTGGCTTGATGCTGAACTGGGACTTGAACCGCCGCCACCAACGGCACTATTACTACCTCCTCCTCCGCCGACAACACCAGCAGCTACTGCAGCATTAATATTGCCAGCACTACCTAAATACTGGCCCAAGGACATTTGTTGTTTCGGTGATGTACCCGCCGACTGCTGATACATGGGCAATGTAAATTGTCGACTGGGACAATTTGCAATAGGACTAGAACTACTTTGTATTGAATCACAAGTTGAGGAACGTGAACGTAATACCGGTGAATCACCGCCGGCAAAACTGGGAGGACGTGAACGCTTCTAAAAATTAAAAGAAAATAACGATAATTAATACATATCTTTAAGAGATTTGAATAAGCCCAAAAACTAGTACTTACACGTTCATCGATGACCGTATCATCATCTGAAAAATCTGTTGAACCATCTTCATTTGGTAGATTCCAATCTGTATTGATGTGATCGAAAGCACTTTTTTCACGTCGCATGGCACATTCAATCTGAAAATAAAATTCAAATTTAATTAAAGATCCCGAAAATAATTACAAATTCTAGTGCTTACCAATTCCTTACACACATTATGACCCATTTCTTTGGCTATATCCAAAGCGGTTTTATTCTGAGAATTACGTATCTCATAATCGGCACCGGAACGTAGAAGTAGTTTTATACACTCCCTTTTATCGTGTGCCGCACACAAATGCAGTGCTGTATTCTTACCGGTTACATTTAATATACTGGGTGGATTTGTAACTTTATTTAGACCTTTCGGTGGCATATTTTGTATAAGGAAATCAACAATGTGTAGAGTGCAACCCGTTTCGCGCAGTACAGCCAAATGCAGTGCCGTAACACCATCATCCCATGAGGGTAGACAACACGTTAAATCTGCACCTTCTGCCCACACCTGCAGTAGTTGACTCATATCGGCATTAACAACAGCCTGTTCCAAATCACAGCGTAAATCATTTTCATCGGCACATGTGCGCATCACATAACGCTTGGCAACATATTTGGCTCGAATAAAATCGTAACGTTGTTCCCTAAAAAAAATAAAATAAATTGAATGAAATTTATATCCCTCGTTTTCTCCTACTTCTATGGGTTGAAGATGTCAAATGCCTTCTATAGAATATTGACTCTAGGGTTGTTCGCCTATATACAAAATGCATTTTAGGTCCTTTGTCTATAGAAAGCCATTAAGGTCTACTGTTCATAGAAGGCCTTCAAGATATTCTATCTATGGAAGGCCTTTAAAGTCTTCTGCCTATGGAAGATCTATAAGTTCTATTGTCTCTATAGAATACCTTTAAGGTTTTCTGTTTATAAAATATCTTTAAGATCTTATATCTATAGAAAACCTTTAATGTATTCTGTTTATGGAAGATCTATAAGGTCTATAAGATCTACAAGGTCTATTGTCTATAGAACACATAGAAGTCGTTTATGGTCGGCTGTCTGTAGAAGATCTTTGGGTTATTCTGTCTAAAGAATAAAGGTCAGAAGAAGAGCCTATAGACCACCATAAGAAGACATTTAAGTTCTTCTGTCTATAGAAGGGCTGAAGATTCCGCTCGCAGAGTGACAACTGCTACAGAAATGCACCCACCTGGCGGAGGCACCTGTTTCGCGTCCGCTACTTTTACTTTATCCACCAACAACTGCCCAATTGTCATAACCTTATATTTCGGTTTCGACACTTCGGCAGATAATGGATTTCCAGAGGGAAATTGTGCCTTATCAGCTTTCTTGAAGGAGAGGCCTTAAAAAGGGCTCGCTTCGGGCTGACGTCGACAGGCCCTCGTGGTTTAGGAATCATTTCACTCAAGAAGTTCCTCGCAATATCGTTCAGATATTTCCTATTAAAATTCGGATGCATAGAAGTTGATTTTAGTGAGGATTTAGGGTCGACCATAGCATAGCCTCTAACCATGGTAAGGACTCGGCAACCAAGCCTGAATAAACTTATTGAGGCGTCCAGATATCAACAAGACTCCGTTCTAATACAATCGGGATCCTGAATGCAAACCCTAGATTCTGTCTATAGGTATTCTGTCTATAGGTATTCTTGAAAAGTAGCCTCTTAACAACTATCCTATAATATTTTGTGTCTCTCAACTAAAACGTATTCACCAATATCTCTTCTATACAATAAAAGTATTCATCTATTCAATATTCACATCCTTACATTGTACTATCCGGTGTCAGTTTGCCTTTGCCCAATGTGGCTTCCATAATTTCATTTAAAGCATGATTACCCATGGCACGAGCTATCAATAGATTGGCTGTGGTTAAATTATCCAGCGTTAAACTTTGGATGCGTGAATGATGGACACCAAGATCACGATGAACACCCGAACATTGGATACACACAAGAATGCCAAAATTCAGACTTATCCAGGTGACATCATTGCGTGAACCACAATCACAGCATTGATCATTGCCTGGTAACAATTGGACGTATCTGGAAAGAAATCACATTAGTGAAATTTAAATTCTCCCTCGTCGTGATGGCCATGGAACTCACCTGATAACAGTCTTTTGTAATTCCACTAAGCTGGGACTCATTTGTGGATTTGCATGCTGGAATGCCTTAGCTAAAGCTTTTTCTTTACAATTCACCAAAACAGCCATCCAAGCTTTTTGATCGGACTCATCTTCGGCTTGAAAATGATATGGACGATTGTCTGGAAAATGAAAAAATAAATAAAAATATTCAATTAAAATCAAAAAATTAGAAATAAAATTCCCAAAAAAATACTCACAGCTGATCAAATCAAAACCTCGTTTATCATCTGGCACCGGCTTAATTTGACATGTCAGCAAGTTAACTCTTGTCGGCGGTTTCGTTTCATCGGCATGACATATATCGAGAAACCCGTCACTGGTCACTCGACATCGTCGTTTTTGCCATACTCTCCGCACTTTACCCTCGCTCTTCTTTAGCAGATGGCCGGAACGTGTTACCCCGTGATGTTTATCGCCCTGCAACTGATGCAGCGAATAACCCGTTCCACCTCCACCCTTATCGGTTGGTACATTTTCGACACGTTCAAAATCGGGTGTACTACGCAGCAGGGTTCGTAATTCCAATAGACTGCGTCGATCTTCATCCTGACGTTGTTTAATTTTATGCAATTTATCGCTCAAATCACTGATATATGTACCGAAATGTTCAATCGTTTGGAGGCCATCTTTGAAGTAGCTAGTGGGATGGGAAGAAAAAATATGATCAATATAAGCTGTAAATTGTTATCCAGAATTCGAATATTTAAAATTTTTCTTAGAGATTTACTAACAAAGTTTCAGCTTAAAAAAGTCTTTGACCATCGACAACTATACGAAACTCAATACTAATTGGGAAGTCCACAAAGTAGGATAAGTTTTTTTTTATACTTTCACCACACTGTGGTACAGGGTATTGTGTCCTTGTGCATATGTTTGTAACAGACAAAAGGAAACGAGATAGACACATGGTTCCTTTTGAGAATATTTATAGAATTACATTCTGAGTCGATTTATGCATGTCTGTCCTTGTATTTTTGTGACCAATGTACAGGTCGCATTTATGATTCGATTTGGATGAAATTTGGCACAAGTCACTTATTTGGCCCTTATTTTCCCCTATTGAAATTGGGGAAAAACGGTTCAGATTTAGAAGATTTTGCACAGCCTACTGGAGTAAGAGCAGTTTGATGTCTCTGAAGATTTATCGAAATCGGTACAGAATTAAAAATTTGATTTCGCACGATTCAATTTCAATGATCTCCAAATATGCTATGTACAGGATATTGTACATATGAGCAGCTCTTGTAGGTACCCAAAGTGGTGAAGGGTACCATATAGTCGGGCCGTCCGACTTTTGAATTTTCCTTACTGTTTTATTTATAAGTTAATATAGTTCAAAAGTAGCTAATTTCCGAAATAATATCTAAGGACCCTATTTGCAGCCTAGAAAGACACTGGACCCTATTTTAAATACTCATATTTCTCAATGTAAAGAATATGAACTAGATCTGAGTGGATGGACAGTTCTGTCTAAAACATTGCCATGGTTCAGTAATATATGGGGTTTAGATATTATGAAGCAGTTGGTATATTAATGGAGACGATAATAGGGAGGTGGTCTGAACCGGGGGAAATAACAGGCCTGGTGCCACTATGGGATGTCTGACAAACTGTGGCAATCTCTCTCTATTCTTGTGGGGGCATGCGCATTCATTGTGCAAAATATTTTAATTTCGTTAATCGGGCTCATTAAAATCTTTCGGGAATTCGAAAAATTATAATCAATATAGGAATAACAGTAGTTCACTGCATGATTAGATCTCTTATTTCGAAATTGGAGGTTAGTTGAGTTGACCACTTTCATCCATGTGAAGACGAAAAGGATTTCCGCCATTTGAAAGTGCTATCTCAACAACATTTCTCAAAGAACAGTGACAGTATAACTTGTTGCTAAATTTCCCTCATTGCCACGTAATTATGCAGGGTAGAAAAAACACTAAGAAATCATAACAACTCAATTTCAATGTGGCCTCCAAAAAAAAAGATAAGTAAACAGACAATATATCCACCGGCCTCCAGGCAGCCATTCATCCAATCAGTCTGTATGTTTTTTTTTATTTTACCAATGACTTTTTTTTTTATTTTTTGAAGATCAGCCGGTAAACAAAAATTTGCTATTCAAATCAAGTAATTGATATATAAGGTAAGACATACACAGACAGTAGGTATGTACAATAAACATACAGTCGTACGTACATATATCCATATAAAAAAATAAACGTAATACAACAATTGCTTGGCACATATTTGTCTACGACACTCGTGAAAGATTGAAATTGAGATGGTGTGACGGCTATGGCCATAAAGTATTGTCGCATTTCGGTTTATTTTTTTGTTTTAGTTTTCTCCTCTATATCTTAAGAGCATCAAAAGTGGCAACGTTCCATAATCAGAGTTGAAGGAATACAATAAATAAATTAAAAAGCAAAAACAACAACAAATAATATCCACAACAATGGTTGATACTCTAGGTATTGCAGCAATATTTATCATATCGATCGATTCGTATCGAATTATATAGCAGAGGCACCTAGTTGGTAGTTAGGCAGGCAACATACTTACTTATTCAAAGCGTGATAGTATTCGATAAAATGCTGTAGCAATTCGATGCCAGTTTTTGTTTTGATTTCCTTATATTTCAATAAATACTGAAAGAAAAAAGAAGAAGAAAAAGAGAAAATAAATAAATAAACAAAAAATTACCATAAAATTAACAACAACGAATTTAAGTAGAAATAAACAAAAAAACACACACACAAACGCACACACAACTGAAGGTAAACAATTTTGCATTTGTTGTGTTGGTTTTTTGTCTTTTGTGCAAAATAAAGGAAATGATGGAGGGATTTTGTCCAGCTTATATTACTTTTATGTATAATAATGTAATCAACTGATGCTGATGATGGATAGATTGTAAAAGATGCACAATGGGTTGAAAACTACTCGGAATTTAAATTAGTTTTTGGTCTCCAGATTGAGTTGTCAATTATGCGGTGAAGTCTTAGTCATAATTTTAGATTACTCTTCCAATGAAATTATCTGGGCCAAAAGGTAATTCGAGAACCAAATACCGGATCTGCGATCAAGTACTCATTTTCCGAATTGTAAGGATCTGGATAGTGATGTACTATCGGCATAATTTTTCAAATTCGAACTGGCGAAGAAAATTAGAATTTTTATTAACGAGCAAGAACTGTTTTTGCAAGACTCCAATGGAAAAAATACGACTGACTGTAAGATACCGGTATTTACCATACTGAAGGTGGTGGTCATTTAGTTCAGTTTCGATCGACTGAGTGCATTGAGGTTCAGAGAGACCTAAAACTGTACCGCCTTCGGGGATCAGAGCTGAATGTTAACGGACACGTTCACAGGTTGCGGATAGTGGGAAGCCCAATATTATTCGTTGGGTAGCTGTGAATATCAAATAAGCAGTCGCGGACAATGAACGATTGCCTATGATCCCAGGACTGACGAGGCAAGAATAGCGCCTTTAAATATCCATTTCCAAGGTCTTAGGTCACTACCTTCCAAGGTGACCTCCCTAACGCTGGGGTGTCAAGCGACCTCGTGCCCATCAGTGTTCTACGGTTTGTAGTTAGGGTCTCTACATTATTAGAATGAAGCCTTGTTGATACCTGGGCGCCTCAACAAGTTTTTCAGGCTTAGTCGCCGAGTCCTTACCATGGTTCGAGGCTATGCCATGCCCAACTTAAATCCTTATTTATGCAGCCAAATTTAAATACCCCTCAACTCTGGGACGACTCACCCTTGACAACGAGGAAGACGTCATGGATAGTACTGTTATTAGCACTACGGCGACTAATACAATAGCTATCCTGGTGACTCCTCCAAATCAAGGTGAGTCCCCTCAGATGCTGAGTAGGGACGACAATCCAGGCGAGGAAAAGGATCCAAACTCTCTCTCCACGGCCTTTAGTGATGTCTTGAGATTTCTGAGGCAGTTGACCGTCGAAGTGGATATTGGGACCGATGAGCTCCTTATCGTAAAGGTGGATGAATCATCGGAATCGGGAACCACTAAACGAGTCAACGCCAAAAAGATCTCTGACAAGAAGATTTACCGGAGAGCAGTTAATTACTACAACCGGTTTATCGGACGGGACAGAGACTGTATAACGGACAATGAGTTCCTTCTAATTAAGAGGAACCCAAATACATTCTGAAGTTATCCCGTAACTATCCGAATGATATTGCGAAGGACTTCTTAATTGATAGAATTCTTACATCATGTGCGGAATCTACCGCGATAGGCCCTCAGCTCGAGGAAAAGAGGAAAGACATCACAATGGGAAAACTGAGAGTAAGGGACTGTCGATAAGGCACAACCATCCTCTGTAAATCCGCCCACTGCCGAAATGTCGAAACCGAAATCCAAGGTTAGACAATTGGGCAAATGTTGGTGAATAAACCAAAGGTGCTAAGAGACCCACACAGTCGTTAGATGCACGAAGTACTGCTTCGTACGCATCGGTAGTGTCGATAGAGAATACTGACAAAAGTGATAAGGGTGTGGTGAAAGCCAAACCCACCGCGGAATGGCTACCTCTGTATGGATCCCACAACCTTTTAAGAGAATACACTGAAGTTGGTGGACAAGCAGAAAGACGGACTTCAGATGAGGAAGTGGAGAATCCTCACCTCGTTTGAATCAAACGGCGGTCTTGTCGCTAAGTTCGCCATCGATTCTGCTGGTGAACAATACCTAAGGAGAAACAAGGGAGAGCTGTTTTACGGGATGGGAAACTAAAATTTCGCCTCCCGCCAGTAAAACAGGTAACAGACAGCAGCAGGCGCTAAACATGGTGCAGATAAATCTGGATCATTTTAAAGCAGCAGCTGATCCTCAACCTCTCCTTCTCAAACACCAACATCGCTCCCTTCCAGGAACCATATCTCTACAAAGATAATGTAATGTCCAATAAAAATACATTGCGTAGATATACACGATTTCTCGGAAGGGTCTTGGATTAAATGATAGAGTGCCAGCTGCCTATTGCTCGTTTAGGCGGAAATTGCGGCTCCTTCATTGATTTGTTGTTTCAGTTTCCTATTTGGGTAATAAAATTGGAGGCAACTCCATAAGATCGCCATCATAGTTTATAGTAACAAATAGGATGAGTTTGCTGAAATATAAACTAAAAGAGGTAATGAAACTGAAGCAGATCTGATCAAAGCGATTATTATCTGTGCTCAAATTTCAAAGGAATGTTCGCTGAGTGCATATGCAGTTGAAATCGTTTATAACGACATATCAGTTATAACGACTGTATCCAAAGTCCCGAGAAAAGATCTGCCTTTTTTTGTCATAGTTTATAACGACATAGTTCACTAACGACCGATTTTGCCGGTCCTTTGGCCGTCGTTATAAGCGATTTCGACTGTACTTTTCTCTAAGAAAACTACTCCCAATACTTGATACTACGCAAAAATAATTTCCTGGTTCTCAAAATCCATTGTGCAACACATTATTAAAAATGTAACGTAACGAATAAACCCCTAATTAATTTCACTGAATTGTTTACATACTTCACAGGTTTGTAACTGATATAGACGTCGTTCCTTTTCCATTTCATCGGCCACCACAGCAGCATCAATTTCGGTACGCACCATACCCGCCTCCTTGGCCTGGGCTTTTTTCTCCTTTTCGATTTTAATGAATTTTGCCTCATAGTCTTTGGCAGCCTTGTCGAAGGGCCTCTTCATATCGCCCTTGACACCACGTAATTCACTTTTCAACATTGAATCGACCGGAAACATGACAATGTTGTTGATATTTTGCATCTAGAGGAAGAAGAAGAGCGGAAGGGAGATTAGCAATTAGTGGGAAGGTGAAAGGAAGAATGTTCCTACATACCAATGTTTTCATTAATGCACTCAACTCTTTTGTCACCACTGAGAATTTAAGGAATGCTGCTCCAATATCTGGTTCATCCTGATCGATTACTTTGCCGCCGAGACGTTCAAGGGCCCTCACCAGAAACATTTCATTGTCAACGTGAGCTGTAAAGGAGGAAAGAAAGAAATAAAGAAAAATTGTAAATTAATTAACTCAAAAAAGGGCGACGGATGTCGAGGACGAATACACCAGGGCAGAGGCAGGCATGTTGGTTGAGAAAAAGCAATTAAAGGCATACAAGGTGGTGTTTGGCTGCAGAGGTAGTGAATTGAGTGTGTCAAGTATTTTTATGGAAATTAGTTTATGGCAAATTTAAATATGAGAAGGAAATAATAAAGGGACAGACAGGAATCTAAAAAATGTTTCCATATTTATCTCTGTGGGCCTTTCCAATCTCTGTTTTAGAAAAGCTCACAGTGATAACGAGGAAATACTTTTTTATACCCTACACCATAGTATGGAGGGTATATTACTTTTGTTATTCCTTTGTCTGCCGACAGGTCAAGTTCGAAGATAGATTATATCGGTTCCCGTTTTTCGGTATTTTGGGGTTCTTGAGCGCGTTTTTCAACCGAATTCGCTGAAATTTGGTACATTGGGTTCTTTTTGGATACCAAATTTCTCCATTAAAAATTATAAGTATAGGTCCATTTTTCGGGTAGGCCCCATATATGTGTACACCCCAATTTTAAGTTTTTTTTTTCGGGGGTTTGGCAGGATTTTTCGCTGAAATTTGGTACATTGGCTTCTTATTGACTACCAAAAATTTCTACACTAAAAATTATGAATATAGGTCCACATTTCCTGGTAGCCCCCATAAAAGGGTTCCTCCCCATTTTTGGTATTTTGGGGTTCTTGAGCGCTTTATTCAACCGAATTCGCTGTAATTGGGTTCTTATTGGGTACCAAATTTCTTCACTAAAAATTATAAATATAGGTCCACTTTTTCTGGTAGTCCCCATATAAGGATTCCTCCCATTTTCGGTATTTTGGGGTTCTTGAGCGCTTTTTTTTTAAACGAATAAGCTGAAATTTGGTGCAATGGGTTCTTATTGGATACCAAATTTCTATACTAAAAAATGTAAATATAGGACAATTTTTTCGGGTAGCCCCCATATAAGGGTGTCCCACAATTTTCAGTAATTAGGGGTTCTTGAGCGCGTTTTTCATCCGAATTATCTGTAATTCGGTTTTTTTTGTAGTCGTATATGGTAACAAATCTCCCTCCCAAAAAATATTATCATTCGCCCCTTTTACGAGTAGTCCCATGTAACCCCCTTTTCTAACCTAACCTAACCTAACCATACCCTTCACCACACTGTGGTACAGGGTATTATGTCTTTGTACATTTGTTTGTAACAGGCAAAAGGAATCGAGATAGACCCATGGTTCCTTGGTTCCATAGAATCTCTTTCTGAATCGATTTATGAATGTCCGTCCGTCTGTTCGTCTCTTGATGTTAAATTGTAAACAAAGTACAAGTCGCACTTATCATCCGATGTGGAGCTGTGTCAAGCTCATTTTTTGGCCCAAGGACGAACCATATTGAAATTGGGAAAAATCGGTTCAGTTTTAGATATAGCTCCCATATATATTTTCGTCCGATTTAAGCTAAATGGTGCACCAAAATTCCTATATATATTTCGATTCGTACGAACTTTAGCATAGCGTACTGAATTAAGACTATAATGATGTTTGCTAAGTTTCGTGAAAATCGTTTCAGATTTAGATATAGCTCCCAGATATATTTTCGCCCGATTTAAGGTAAATGCTGCACCAAAGTCACTATCTATCTTTCGATTTGCACGAAATTTGGCACAGCGTACTGAATTAATTCTAGAATGTTGTGTGTAAAGTTTCGTGAAAATCGGCTCAGATTTATATATAGCTACCATATACTTTTTCGTCCGATTTAAGGTAAATGGTGCACCAAAGTCCCTATATATCTTTCGATTTGCACGAAATCTGGTATAGCGCACTGAATTAAGTGTAAAATGACGTGTGTTAAGTTTTAGATATAGCTACCGTATTTATTTTCGTCCGATTTAAGGTAAATGGTGCACCAAAGTCTCTAAATACCCTTCGATATCACGAATTTTGGCATAGCGTACCAAAGTGTCTATTTATCTTTCAATTTGAACGAAATACGGCACAGCGTACTGAATTAAGTGTAGAATGATGTGTGTTAAGTTTCGTGAAAATCGGTTCAGATTTAGATATAGCTCCCATATATTTTTTCGTCCGATATAAGGTAAATGTTGCGCAAAAGTTTTTATATATTGTTACGAATATAAATTTAGATTTAAGTTAATTTAGATGAATTCCGTTATTTTAAGAATTTGAATTGTAACGTAAATTTCTACTACGCAGTTTTTTTGAATATCTTCACAACAACAACTACTGTATAGATTTTTCTACATCCTTCCATTTCCTCTTTCATTTTCTATTTTGCTATTGTCGTACAATTCTTGTTAAACGTCATCATTGATGATCGCTTAATTCCTCTTTCTTTGTTACCCCCTCGCCTGTATATGTGTTGTTGTTATTGTTTACTCAATGTTAGTTTGTATGTGTTGTGTTATTGTTCACTCAATGTAAGTTTGTATGTGTTTGTTGCATTGGTAGATTGTTCGTAATCTAGGCGTTACCAGATCGTCTAGAAACTTCTGTAGCGACAGGCAAGGCTCATATAAATAGAGGGAATGGAAAGGCAGTGAGTCAGTTGTGAATCAGATCGCGAATTGAAACCGTCGAGTAAAGTAAAGTGCAAAGTAAAGTTCTGTGAATAAAATCATTGTAATAATCGTAATCCGAAAGAACCCGCGTTTTATTTGGTACGAATTGTATCGGGAAATAAAACAACGTCTACACGGGATTAAGCAAAACCCAAGAACGTAACAATATCTTTCGTTCAATTGCATGTCAATGTTCTTTCGTCTTTTAGGAGACTATGTAGAATATACCCAACATGGTGAAAGGTTTCATATAGTCGGCGCAGTCCGACTTTATTACTTTCCATACTGTTTTATATTCCGCGTTTAGGGGTTGGTTCTAAGTCTCTGTTGTAATCATTCTACCTGCGGAGGATATAGAGACCAAAAACTAGAACGCAAGGCTCAAGAATGAACTATATCGGCCCGCATTTAGGCCTAGTCTCCATACCGATTTCGGTATTTTAAATATTTATCGGTAAGGAAAGTATTGTTATGCAAAAATTTTGGTTTCGAAATCGAGCTATATCAGTCCTGAATAAGGTATATAACCTCATATGATGACAACTACAAATGTTCGATAATTCCTACACGATATTGGCCCCGCTTTTGGGTACAGCATCCAGGGAACAATTTTTTTCTGTAGTGACAATTTTCATATTGAAGCAGTAGCTTACACCCATCTCCCCGAAATAAAAGCTGGGTACGTTGATGATGGCCTCATATAACTGTGCCCTCCAAATTACAGTATTTTGTGGATGTTCCACCCTAACATGCGTCGTCAATATCGGTCCTGTTTTTGGGGTTTATAGGAAAAATCTCCCCTAATAACGACTGACCGTTGTATTTGGTGTACATTATGGTTAAGAATTGCCTGTATAGACACACTTTTCATTTCAAGTACCTATCAGTATTCCTATGCTGGAGGGTATCCAAAGATCGGCCCGGCCGTACTTAACGCTTTTTTCACTTCTTTATTTTCCTTCCTTATAAATAAGTGTGTGAAAAATACCTTGAAGGATTTCTTTTCTTTCTCAATGAAGAAGAAAAATAACGAAATCATAAAATTCTTCTACGTGACATGTGTGTCATCACCGTGGGGAAATTGTGTTCTTGTAATAGTGAACGAATGACTGAATGACGACAATATCTATTCTGTGTTAGTGTGTAACTGTGCTACAAGGAGTTTCTATGAGTTTTCTATATTACAACAAAAAACAAGTGGTTGCAGATGGTGATGTTGGCGGTGGTGTGGCTGGCTGCTGCTGCGCCTGGGTATTTTTGTCATTGCAACAACTACGACGACTATGTTTGGCATGTATGCAACAATATGCGCACAGACACGCGTTGCTCTTGGCCACTTGTTACTACTTAATTTTAGAGATACACATACGCGTTGTTTGGTTGCACTTTAATACACACATAAATATAGAGGATATAGAGGGTGGTGGTAGTTAGGCGAACATGCAATATGTTTGAAAGTGTTGGAGGTTGAATAGTTTTTTTTCTCTTGTTTTAAAAATACTTACTATTTCCTGAGTTATGTATGGCCTTGACAGCTTTTTTCAATTTTGTTAATCCTTCACGGTCAAATTCCAAACGCTGAAAAGAGGAAAGAAAAAAAGAATAAAAATGAAAACTTTTTTATTAGACATTTTAGTTGAAAGGTTAAAACGGGGGGAAAGTTGGGCAGAGTGTTGATAGCATCTAATGGATATTCTTAAGGTAAGAAAATTCTTGGTTAATTGTGGAGATTATTGAAAAATGTTTTTTCTTTAAAAATGGTAAATTTAGAACAGATTCATGTTATAAGTATCGTACGGATATCTTCGCCAGAAGTTATTTTAATTAAAGACAGTTTAGGCATAGTATTGGTAGCATTTGTCTATTTTTACCTATAGTAGAGTAACTTCGGGTAATGTAGACTATGCGTCTAATGTCAATGCCGCCTTGATAAATGTTTTCCTAATTAGTAAAAACAAACATCAAACATGGTTTTTAATAAATAATTGCAATTTTAGAATTGTAGAAAATGTAGCTCTGATTGTAAAAGTGTGATTTGAGATTTTTTAGCACAATAGTCGACCGTTTTTCAAAATCGTCGAACACTTTGTTTTTTTTTCGAATATAAAGAAGTTATATGGTTTTCTTTAACAAAAATATACGTTTACCTGTAATTACAATCGGTGATTTTTAATTTTTATTCATTTTTGAAGCTGATAATTATTTTTAAATAAAAATATTCAATGTCGGGTAATGGGGACCACTATAAAAAAGTGGGACATTTTCATGAGGACGAGTTCGAAACATGGGCATTTAATATGCGAGGAGGTATTCTATCCTCTGAAAACTCGATATGCGAGATTTCAAGTGGTTCGGTTGGATAATGAAGCAAGGACCTTCAAAATAAATGGGGGCTATTCCAAAACATGAACCCTTATATTTTTGCATTGATTGTTACCCAAGTGTGCAATAAATTGAAATTTATCACAACCAATCCACAACCTACCTTTAACTTAATGATCATCATTACCCACACATAATGGTCCACATTACCCGCCAAGTTATTCTTATACGCAGTTTAGAGTTTTTTGAAAAATACTGCAATAACATTTTTATAGATAAATATTTATTAGTGTTTGGCGGGTTTATTTATATTTATAATGTTTGACCTGAAATATATTTAGCCAACAAATCTACTATGTTGTGAAAACAATTTGTTTTTATTTTTTACCGTTGTTACGCCCACAATATCAAAAAAAAAAACAAATGGTGGTCCACATTACCCGGAGTTACTCTAAGGAAAAGTCGAAAGTCGAACGATAACGGATATGGAACCATATTTTGACATATCCCATTTACAAAGGTTCCGCCACAATGGTCTTAAGCTCTTTTCCAAATGAAGTAGCTGAAATTTGGTATTCAGTGTTGTGGTAAAAAATATTCGTACAAAATGTTCAATATAGAGCCCTGCTTTGATGTTATCGTCATATAAAGGTTCCGCAATTTTGTGTATTTTAAAGGGCTTCGTCGTATTTTGCACATGAAATGGTTGAAATATGACTGCTTATTGAAGAACATCTTTGCAAAAAATTGTCAATATCGGTACAGGTTTTGACAAAGCTTCCGCATCATTTTTGGCATTTTTTATGTCCTAGGGAGATTTTAAATCCAAATATATGCAATAAATGTGTAGGTAAAAAAACTTAATCGCAAAATTTACCAACGAGTAAAACACCAAACCGAAGGCTTTGATGCAGGCACTCCTTCTGTAGAGATGAAGAACGAAACCTGGTGACAGATACAGACAGCATGTTAAGGATCTGGAAGGAGCATTTGGAAAAGATTCTGGTATAAAATACCCCAGATACCCCAGACCCAATAAGAGATGATGGTATAGAGTGTATACCACCTAGCCAAGATGAGGTCGAAATAGCAATCAATCGGCTGAAGAATAATAAAGCAGCAGGTGTTGATGGGTTACAAGCCGAATTATTCAAGAACATGCACCAGCTGATTAGTACAATTTGGCTAGAAGAATGCATGTCCAATGATTGGAGCCTCAGCATCCTCTGTCCCGTGCACAAAAAAGGAGACAAGACGATATGTACCAACTATAGAGGAATAAGTCTCCTTCCCATCGCATATAAAGTGCTATACAGAGTGCTGTGTGAACGACTGAAGCCTATGATCAATGACATTATTAGACCATACCAATGCGGCTTCAGACCTGACAAATTCACCATGACCATGTTTTCACTCGGTGCCAAATCCTGGAAAAGACCCACGAAAAATAAATCGACAGATTCCATCTATTCGTCGACTATAAAGCCGCATTCGACAGCCCTATCCGTTCAGAAGCGTTTAAAGCCATGGCTGCAAAATTAATACGGCTATGCAGGATAACTTTAAGTGGCACAAGGTCTGCAGTTAAAGTGGGAAAGGACCTCTCGGAGCCCTTCAAAACCGAACGAAGATTCAGACAAGGTGACAGTTTGCCGTGTGACCTGTTTAACATCCTGCTGGAAAAGGTCATACATGAGGCAAAGGTGAACAGAAATGACACTCTGTACACCAAACAGCATATGTTACTCGCCTACGCCGACGGAATCGAAGGGTAACAGCAACCTTTGAACGAATTGAGGAGTCTGCCAAATTGGTACTGACAGTAAATGGCGAGAAGACCAAGGTAATGGTATCAACGCGCAAGACGTACAGTAGACTTGGACTAACTGTGGAACTTGAAAATTACAGCTTCGAATTATTCAAAGATTTTATATACCTCGGTATCGCCATAAAAGGATAATGTTGGCCAACAGATGCAACTAGGGTCTGAATAAGCAATATAGAAACAATGGTGTATGAATCGCAAACAGATGAAGCAGTTTCTGGAGTGTTTGAGAGAAAAATTCTCCGGAAAATCTATGGGCCGATCTGCGTTGACGGTGAATATCGTTGAATGAACCATCGGACATCAACATGGTCAGGCGTATCGAGCTGTAGCGACTATGTTGGTTAGGCCATGTTGTGAGAATGGATGAAGATGCCACAGCTCAAAAGTCATATAAAAGAGAGCCAAGTGATGGTTCAAGCAGAAGCGGAAGACTACGAATCAGATGGAAAGATCAAGTAGAAGATAACATCTCGGAAAATGATATTTCCAATTGGATGAGATGCGCATAAGACCGACGCGCTTGGAAATCTTTTTTAAGCTCGGCTAAGTAAGTTGGTATTTTTAAGGGTTACGACAAGGACGGACTTTTAAAGACAATTCTTAAGGGCTGAAGTAAGCGTGGATTAAAAAAAATAATTGTTTTTACAACCCTTATCAGGAATATTTTAAAAAAGTTTTTTCAAGGAATTGTCTTCGTATTCGTGTAGAAAAGAAATATTTTTCATGAGGTCTTACAAGTGTGTATTTTTTAACGGGCTTTCACAATCGTGGATTTAAAGATGTTTAAAGAATAATTTTGTAAGATTTGTTAGACTTCAAACGGTGTCTATGTTAATCTCTGGACCCCTTCTCTTCTCATCTTTTGATCTAGCAAATTTCCTTTTATATTTTTCTAAATTTCTAATATTTTCTAAAAATATGTTTTAATTAAAAAAAATATCTAAATTACTTCCTCTATGAAAATTTAAAATCCGAACTAAAAAATATTTTATTTCACTTCAATTAAAATTCATATTTCAATTTCACCATCAACCAAAAAAATGACAATATATATCTTATTGACAATGCAATAAAAAACTTAAAATTTTGAAACAAAACAAAAAAGAAATGATAGAATTTATGAATGAATTAAAAATACGATGTGCACCACTTAACATAAAAATACAAAATATATTCAAAAAAAGAACACAAAAATAGCAACAAAACACAACTAAAAAAATCAGAACTAGAGAAATCCACAAAAAAGAAAAAAATAAAGGCAGTACATTGTAGGTACTCAAGATAAGTAGAAGAAGAAGACGGCGGCCGAAATCCCCCTTTCAATAGCAAATTGAAACAGATTCATTTCGATTCAAAAAATAAGTGTGACAGCGACGTCCGCGACAACGACATCAGGAACAAAAAAAAAAATAGCAGAGCCAACGTGAATAAAGTATTCCAAATGTATACGGGTAAACGATGGCGACAACTACAAAAAAGAAATAACCATTGAATTTGCCGTACATCTGTCAAGTTGAATTTTGTGTTGTTGGGAATCACTACTTCAAATTTTCGTTATCCAAAAAAAAATCCCCCTCGACAACGAAAAGAAAGAAGATTGAGGGAACTACAAATTGTCAAATGGCAAAAGAAACTACAAATCGGAAAGTGTTTGTGTGTGTGTGCGTCTCCAAAGAAATGTTCAAAAGCTTCCCTCTCTCTTCTCTCCCCTCTCCCCCAAAATTAAAGACGAAACCCCCTAAACACAACCGAAATAAAATCTTTGAAAAGCAACTTCAAAAATGAAACGGAACTCAATCTCTACTTGTGTTTTTTTCTTCAACAATTATTTACATCCGGTAGATTTAAAAGTGCTATAATACATCGTACATAATACATGTGTGTATGTATGTATGCTTGTTTATATCTTTATAGGCCGATTTATGTTGCTGTCGTCCTACATTTGTTGTTTTGTACTTACACACACACAGTATATCCTCCTCGTACGAAATGTAGTTTAAGTGCAACAGGCACTTAACCGAACAACGCCAACAACAAGAACAACATCTTAATAGTATATTGCAACAAATCTTACACGAAACCTCTTCAAGAAAACAACAACAACAAAAAACAAAAAAACATGAAACAGGACACGAAACAAAGATTTACAAACAACAAATGTATGTCCTTAATTTTATTTTTACAGGGGAAGATATTTTATAGAACAGGGAGGAGAATAGTATAAGAGCTGTCTTAAACAAGGCATAGCAGAAGGATTAAATTGTCTACTGCTCAGCATAATCTCCACTTGTTTGTGAGGTCTTCCAGAGACCCCAGGATAACAGACATTTCATTCGGTAAACAAAATTGAAAATTTTACTCACAAAAATTGGAACTAATTACCCAAGAACACCGGTTTTCCTTGGATCCTGAAATGAGTTATATGAAG